CCCAGGGAGTTGTAGGTGTTGCACAGCTGTTCCAGAAGGCACTCTAGACAGCTGCATTCCACAGGACCCTAGGCTGGAACCCGGAGTAGAGGGCGGGCCCGGATTCCCCCCAAATCTCCCAACTCCTGGTCAGACACAGGAGGAGTTGACCTGGACTGTGCGTTCAGAAAAACGGACAAGCTGAGGGCTGCCATGAAGCTCCAAGGTGAGCAAATCTGCCAATAAGTGCAAGACCCACCAAGGTAGAGGAGGAACTTTGCCACAGTATATAAAATCTCCCCACTGTATTTTCTACTGCATGCATCCGATGAAGTGAGCTGTAGCTCACGAAAGCTTATGCTCAAATAAATTTGTTAGTCTCTAAGGTGCCACAAGTACTCCTGTTCTTTTTACATGGTTGTTACCATGTTTTACATGGTTGATACTTGACTTGGTATTTGCAGTTCTTTCTTCCAGCAGCTTGTGACCAGCCATGAATACAGTGTCCCCAAACAGCCTTCTTAGAGTGTGGTTTAATCGGAAGAGTGGGACCACAGCATAACAGGAGAAAAGGATTAAAACAACAAAAAGCCCACATGCATCTCTATCTTACCTAAACCTTAGGTAGGCCTCACTTTTCCCAGATACCCTAGCCTCTGGAGACTGGGCTTCAGTCTGCTGTCAGCAGTCTCTGCCTCTCTCCATGGACTGGAGGATTGTCAAGCTCTGTGCGAGGGGCCCCAGGAGGACAGCACAGAGGAGGAGATGCAACCTGCCCTTTATGAAGCCATCGCAGGTAATGTTAAAGGCAGTGAGGGGTGTTGTGTTGCTGGAAGTGCAATCCTTCTTGCTCTGGACACGTGCCATCTCCCAGCATCCCGGCCTGTCTTTCGGATATCTCTTCCTGTCCAGTTGTCATCTTAATCTGAATTTGACCAAAACTCACTCTTTCTTCCCCCAGTCTCCTTTTCTGTCCTCTTTCTCCATCTCCATGGACAGCCTCACCACCCTCCCAGTCATTGAGGCCCATAAGCCAGGGTCCATCTTTGAATTACCCCTCTCACTGGACCCACATGTTCAGGTCATTTTTAATCTGACCCCTTTTTCCCAAACGACATCTCTAAAATCTGGGCTTTACTCTCTCGTCCAAAACTCTCGTCCCACCCCCCTCAACTGTTACAACCTCTTCTTCTCCAGCCCTTCCTCCTTTCAAGTCTGTTTAGAACGCTGCTGTTAAAATCACCTTCTCTGGGATCTGACCACGTCAGCTTGGCCTGGGCATCCCTCTGCCGGCTCTCCATGCACCTCCTTGTCAGACACAACCCCCTTGGCTTTCCCAGTAAGGCCCTTTGTGAGTTAACTCTGCCCTGGCTGGCTGATCTACTGAGACTGGTCCCCATGGTCGCTTTGCCAGCATTCCCACCACCACCAGTCAGCCCTGCGTGCTCCCACCCACGCTGCCCCCGTGCATGGGGAAAACACTCCAGTAAAATCCAAACGGCCACTGCCTCCTCCTCCTCCAGTTCCCTGCCATGAGGCCTCCCAAACCCAGCCTGCTGATCACGGCCAGGCAGGTGCTGAGCTGTGGCAGTCTCTTCCCATCCTTCCCTTCTCCTGCTCCTGTCCTCCCCCTCCCCGCAGAACCTTCTAACCCCACTGAGAAAGCTCCTTGGAGCTAGCAAACTGAACCAGTTCTTCCCCAGGCTCACTGCTTGACTGGTGTATCCCCATCGCCCACCCTTTGTTGGCTTCTGCCTTTAGATCATAAGCCCGTCAGGGCAGGGAGTTGTAGGGGAACAGGCCCCTCAGGCTAAGATGAAGGCCAGTCCCTTGGCTGCAGGATGCAGCTCCTTTCCTTCTCCTTCTGAGAGCCCTTCAGGTCTCTGCCCTATTCATCTTTTGGAGATCCTCTGCCATGGGAAAGGGTCTGAGACATGAACAGGGCAGGGCTGATAAACATATTGATGCTAATTATAATACTTGCCCTCTCTCTAGGAGCTCAGACCCCTATTCATTTTGAAGGATGGTAGAGGGGAATGAGGGCACACACAGAGCCCTCTGCATGGGGGAAGTGGGGAACCTTGATATGGGGGAAATGGGGCACACACAGGGCCTCTGGCATGGAGAGGAGGACACTGGTATGGGGACTTAGGGGGGCATAGGTCAAGAGAACATGGGGAGCATGTAGAGATCCCACGAGGTGGTGGTGGGGGGAACAGAGGGAAGCATGGAGGCCCAGTGTGTGCAATGCACTCAGCCTAAAGAAGCTACAAATCATGCAATCCCTTATGGTCTTAAAGCACTTGACAAATGCTAATGAGAGAAGCCCCCTATAAGTGTCCCTCATGTTACATGTGGAGAAACTGAGGCACAGAAAGATGAAGCAACTTGCCCAAAAGTCACATAGGAAATGTGGGTTCAAATTGGGAATAGAATCCCTAGCCTCTCAGTGCCTCCTCGTGTTCTCATCCCCTGTCCTGGCCCATTCAATTCCACCTATTTCTGTTTTTCTCTTTCCCCTTCTTTCTTCTGAATTACTGCAACATTTTGTCCTCCTGGTCTTTCTGTTGTGTAGGGGCCTGTACTGTATTCAGAATAGCAAAAGTCCAACTCAGCCTGTGACAGAAACATTTTTTTTCACACAAAAGGGAGACAGAGAATGAATTAGTCCAAACAAAAAGGTCTGCTGATACTACCCAAGGGCTCTTTAGCGATTATGAGGGGTAAACAAGGGGAGAATGGCATCAGAACTTAATAAAACGATATTGGTGTGTTGGAAATTCGGCCTAATTGGTGGACAAAATAATGAGGGGATGGGCTTATCACCCTCTTTTGGGGTTCTTTAAAAAGAGATTTAGGGGACAATCAAAACAAGGGGATGGGTGTATTGAAAGGAATGAGCTTCACCATTCTGGCTGCCACCCCCTCCACCCGCAACTTCTCCTGGGAACCCAGAATCCACCATGCCATTGTTGAGCTGTCGTCATCCTGGTCCTGAAAGGCGTCCTAATCACACCAGGCCACAGAAAGGGAATTGATTACTTCACCACCCCACAAGCTTCAGCTAAGTCCTGAATAACACCTGGAATGTGACCCTTGGTTGCCTCCTGTCAGTCCTTTGATGTCCTTTTCCTTTGATGATTTTTTTCTCTTTCCTATCACTCTCATTTTGCCTTTTGTTTACTAACAGACTGTCTTAGCTGGCCAAGACTGTCTCTTTCGCAACACTGCTGTGAGTGCATGACCAGAGAGGCAGCTAAAAGCAACCTCTTAAACTGCCTGATGCTGGTATAAGTTTGTCAGGTCTTGTCCCGGCTATGACTGTTTTTTCCAGTAGTGAGGCTGCAAGTGAGAGTCAACACTAGAAACAGAAACTGCATTTTCAACTTTGCTGTTCTTTTCTGTCCCCTTTTGGGTGTGTTTGTCTTGTTTTGGCTTAAAGGAAACAGGATCAGACTTCAACAACAGCAGCTGCAGCTAGGGTAGCCAACACTGTATTTCAAAAATAATATATATATAGATTAATTAATAATTAATAAGCAGTATTCAGCTACATTCGCCAAGGGTCTTTCTTGCTGCTTTTTGCACTCAGCACCTCCCAATCTTATTGTACAGAGATTAAAAAAAAAAAGGGACATCCCGTAGAATAAGCGACTGTTGGCAACCCTAGACTCTCAACTGTTTCTCTTTTCCCCACAAAGGACAGTTAATACCATCTAAGGACAGTCAGAAAGCTCCCTACAGCAAAAGAGAAAGGGAAGAAGAGATATTGTTAAAATGAAAGCCTCATTTAGTATTTTACATTTCAAATGCTTTAACTGTTTTTCCTTCTTTTTCTGTACCTTTAATAAAAAGTTATACAGATTTTTAATGGTGGTTGCCATGGAATTAAGCAGGGCAAGGTCTCTGTATTCAAAACCCCAAACAATGCTTAACTGTTTAGTGTAGTACAATGACCAAGCCATGATAACATATTTGACTCTCTGGTCCATTTTATTCCATGGAAATTAACATAATACTTCCCAGTTCCCATAGGAAACAATCTCTCTCCAACAAGGGCCCAGTGAAGAACTGAGGGATGCTGCTGGGCTTAAGTGGAAAAAAGAGACTAGAGTTTCCTGCATGATAAAGAAATGTCTTTGTTTAATTTGGAGATCCCCATTTCCATCGCTTCCAAAGGATCAGTGATTCCCAAATTGAACTCTGCAGAGCTGCTTCTGCTGAAGTAGCCATCAAACATCAGACACTCAGGCTTTCTGCTAGCCCAGATCTGGCTATTCTTAGGACTTCCAGTGTTTTTTTCAACTGACCTCCAAAGCCCTTTCTGATAAGAGGCCCAATTCTGAAAGCAGGCCCTTAGGTGGGGCCTGTCCAAGGCTGAATGGAAACATAGCATTGGGATTCAAGGGCCCAGACCTGAGCAGAGTATCCAGGTGGTGTCTCCCCAAGAGCCATAGAAAGGGGTGTTATCCCCTCATTGCTCCAGAACATGAAGCCTCAGAGATTGAGGATCCCAGAGCGGAGCACAGTAACTCTGATGATGTCTCCTCCGATCCACATAGAGAGGAACTATTCCTCACTACTCCAGAACGTGTATGGAGAATTCAGGACTGGGAGTAGCATGCTGGAAAGGAAGGTGTCTGTGAGACATCGAGGATTGACAAGTACATCTCTGGTGTAAGTCCAGTGACCTCCCTGGACTTTGTGTGTGTTGCACAATATGATTAAGTTTGAAAATCTGGCCCTGAGGCAGGTGAATGTGGAAGACTCACTCCCCTCAGCTTTGATTCCTAGACCTGGATCTGTGAAACAACCACTTCTCTTTGACAGCAGCTGCCAGTGAGGTTCCAGCCAGTACATCTGTGGCTCATATAAAGATCCCAGATGCTGCAGTGAGGTATCATGAGCCACAGCTTTTAAAAGGCCTACAGCTTTTAGCATGGGAGTGAGGGGGTAGATTGGTCACTTTAGGTGGGAACCTAGATCTAGTCTGAGAAGAAAGGAGACTGCACACACAAGGAGGTGATTTGGTGATCCTTTAATGCAATTAGATAGTGTGAGTGATACAGAGAATACATGAGTCGGAAGTCAGTGAGCTGTTGTTGTGCCAGTGAGGAGAAGGAGCAGCCCCTCTTCTATTAGTTGGCTAGGCTCTGAACCTAGTCCTTGCAGACCAGCAATTACCCTCTATTGTCCCCATTGATGGGTTTCAGCCTCAGAGCTATCATGTGGATGGGGCATGGCTAGCTTCTCTCTGAAAACCAAGGAATTTGAGCAAAGAATGTTATGGGTAAAGGTAAAAAAGGGCCTCTTTACCCTTCACACTCTCTGTTCCTGCCCTGGCAATTCCAGTGGAGGAAGGAAGAGAGATGCCCCTCCTTGATGTAGTTACAATGCAATAGATAACTCATTGTTTCTGACTCCCTACTCTGGCACAGCCACAATGCAGTTGGGTCTGTTGCACAAAGAGTAGATGGGATCAAAGGTCAGCCAATCTGCTGGGACATCTGACCTCAACACCTGGTGAGATGGCAGTGCCCTAGGGTGAGAAGAATCTATTTGTGTGATCCCTCTCCCTCCTCATATCTGCTCATGGTCCCTATGATCCAGTCCCGGTAACGCCCCACTCTGGTGTAAAGGCCATACGTGCCACACTGTGGTCCCCAGGAGACCAGGCCACCCACATAGTACTGTTTGTCATTGTGGGGGTCTTTGATGGCATAGGCTCCGCCACTGTCCCCAGAACAGCTGTCCTTTGTGCCATCTCCAGCACAGACCATGTTGTCAGTGAATTGGAAAGTGGTGGAATCAGCAGGTGGCTTCGGCTTCACACTACGGCATTGTGCCATGTCCACCACGGGGATCTGCGCCTTCATGAGATGGTAGACTCTGCTTCGGTTCTCTGTCCGGCCCCAGCCAGATATGTAGCCCAGTCTGCCTTTCTCCAGCTCATATTCAGGGGAACCACCAGGGAGGCAGAGTGGTGAGATCTTGGGGCCCATCTTCACAGGCACCTTCAGCTTCAGCAGCGCAATGTCATTATCAAAATTTGTCCGAGCTTCTGGGTTTGCCACCTTCATCCAGTTAGGGTGAATGAACACTTCTTCTTCAAACAGCTGTATGGGCTCCTCCTTCTGGAGCTGTTGGTTGATGTTGGTCACCCCAGCATACATTGTGGGCTTGCTATTTGAATCATCCAGCACATGAGCTGCAGTCAGCACCCAGCGGTCTGAAATAAGTACCCCACCTCCCCGTGGGTGTTGGAATAAGACCTGCCAGGGGAAGTTGCCTGGCTTAGCACGGGTGCCCCCAAAAATCCTCTGCTGCTCCTCGATGGGTGTACTGGGGATCCCACAGACTAGAAGGGAAATAAAAAGGGAGAAACGCAATGGGAGAATTACCACTTGCTAGTAGGGTTGTTGTCTGTGCATCACTAAAAACCCTATAGTCCCCTCTCTCTCCTGTTTACTTGACATCACCCTGGTCCAGAGTAACCTGTGTCTATGGCAGTTCTCTGTCAAATAATCTGCATCCAAAGTTTACAGAAAAGAAGAACTAAGGAACAGGGTGATTAAATGATTAAAAAAATAATCACAATTAATTGTGAGTTTACAAAAATAGTCGTGAATAATCGCACTTTTAATCACACTGTTAAACAATAATAGAATACCAATTTAAATATATTATAAATATTTTGGATGTTTTTCTACATTTTCAATATATTGATTTCAATTACAACACAGAATACAAAGTGTACACTGCTCACTTTATATTATTATTTTTATTACAAATATTTTGCACTGTAAAAAAGATAAAAGAAATAGTATTTGTCAATTTATCTCATACAAGTACTGTAATGCAATCTCTTTATCATGAAAATGCAGCTTACAAATGTAGAATTTTTTTTTACTTAACTGCACTCAAAACCAAAACAATGTAGAACTTTAGAGCCAGAAGCCCACTCAGTCCTACTTCTTGTTCAGCCAATCACTAAGACAACCAAGTTTGTTTACATTTACGGAAGATAATGCTGCCTGATTCTTATTTACAATATCACCTGAAAGTGAGAACAGGTGTTCGCATGGCACTGTTGTAATATAAAGTGAGCAGTGTACACTTTGTATTTTATATTGTAAATGAAGTCAATATACTTGACAATGTAGAAAAACATCCAAAAATATTTATAATAAATTTAAATTGGTATTCTATTATTGTTTAACAGTGTAATTAAAAGTGCAATTTATCTCAACTATTTTTTAAAATCTCATTAATTTGTTTTGCGTTAATCGCTTGAGTTAAATGTGATTAATTGACAGCCCACAGTAAGCAAATTTGGAAATAAAAAGTTTATTAACTTCAGTGAAGTATAAAAATGCCCATCCTTAAATTGTTCGCATTGTTGTTGAAGCCATGTTGGTTGAAGAAGAACTCTGTGTAGCTCAAAAGCTTGTACGTTCCACCAACAAAAGTGGGTCCTCACCCACCTTGTCTCCTATGCACCCTCAAATTCTAATGTAGAAGTCAAGAAATTCACAGTTAAAGTCACCCAAACAGGTTCAGTTCTGCCCTTTTATCACTGCCAAGCTCATATCGTCCATCTACTGTTCCCATCATTCTTGTTTTGCAATATTGTCCCTTAAGATGAAGGATTTCTTTGTAAAGGAGTTTGGTAAAGGCCGTAGAAAGAATTAAATCAGACAAACCCACTCTGTTGGAGAATATATACATGGACTCTGGATAGTCTGAAGTATAATGCACTGGTTTTACACATAGTTGTCTTTGATCTTTTGCCATCACACTCTTCTCTGCTCGTGGTATGTAAATCCTATAGTGTAGAGGCTTTGTTTAGGAGAGTCACAGGCAATGAGTCTCATGGATGCAGTGAACTTGTGTGTTCTTTGAGGATAAAGTTGTCTGTGAGATTCAGCTTATTCAGTGATAATACAAGGCCCCACACGTAAGGCTGCTCACTATCATAATCTGTGAAGTCTGTGATTATTATTCACAATTATCCATCATTCTTTTGTGGACTTTATTTATATACTAGTTAATGTCCCTAGTTTAGAATGTTAGGTTGTACAATTGCCAGGCCACAGTTTCAAACTTCACTGAAACTTAATTCATCGTTCTGTCATGGAGTTTCCTTAGTTTTATTTTTTATAACATGTTTCAGGAGTTTCCCTTTCACAGGAGTCTATGCAGACATTGCAAGGTTCATGTCACAGAGTGAGCTGGCCCTTTCAGGGGGGCTGGCTCAGCCTCACCAGTACCTAGTTATCCACCTCCCAGATGGTGAGTTTGAGTTGGACCTGGTGGTTGGTTCAGGTGACCAGGCAACATATACCTGTAGCCATGAGTTGGTGCTTCCTATCAGAGGGAGCCTGCTGAATGAGTCACAAGTGAGAGACCTACAGGAGACCCAGAAAGCACTAGGGAAGAAGCTCTCCATACTAGCTAGAGGGAAAGGCCTGGCTGGAGCTAACTGTAGCAAGGGACAGGAGCAACTTAAGGAGCAATTAGAGGCCCTGAGAAAGGATATTCAAGGTAGTCTGGCCAGGAGAGCATGGATGAGTATTGAAGAGAATTAACATTTATGCTTTCTTAGGGGTCTAGGCTGGGCTTTCCAGTGAAGGTGAGTGAAGTCCCCTGTCTATTGCCCTGCTCCAAGAGCACATAATGGACTGCTGAGCCCAGGAGGAGGCTACAAGAGAAGCTACATCCAAGAGAGGGTGAAAAGTTTATGGGGCCTGGTGAGGATGCACCTGACTAAACTGGGGAAGACCCAGTGTGAGGTTGCTGGACATCTGTTTTGTTTTTTAGACGTTTTTTGTTTACCTGCTGGAAGGGGATGAATTTTAATTTGTCTGAAGGGCTAAAACATGAGAACAAGCAGAGGCAATAGTAGGGAAACTGAGGCGGCAGCAGGGTCCAATACTGGCTGCAGTGAGACCCTGTTCTGGTTCACTAGAAGACTGGTAGAGTTTATGTATTTCCCAGCTTCCTTCTGCTGCTCCCTCTGATCTTTCTCAGGAACCCACCGATCTCAAAAACACCAGATCTAATGTGACTCAAATTACCAGTCAAATTCTGCCCTGGAAAAGGAACCATCAATTTTTCAGGCAGATTGGTTTAGCTTTCTTTAAATTAGAGAGAAGTGATGGAGAGAAACTGACTTTTAATGGTGATTGGGTCTCCACAAAACACACACACACACACACACAGAACATGCACACATAGACAAAGTTCTTTGTGATACCTGGAACACACACTGGAAGCTCTGTTCCCATCTCTTCACTCACCCATTTCCCGCTGGCTGAACACCGATAAAGCCCTTGGAAAACACAGAAGCATGGAAAGGATTTCAGTACAAAACATCATGAGAATGTGACCAACAATTCTGGGGAACTGGTTTTCTTAGATCCTGTGGCAAGAAGGGATGACTGTGATCACCTAGTCTGCAAAACACAGAGCACAGGACTTCCATTAATTTATTCATTCCTGTGTGGGCTAGAGCAGATCTTTTAGAAAAACATCCAATTTTGATTTTAAAATGGCTAGTGATGGAGAATTCACAATGGCCCTTGGTCAGTTGTTCCAATGGATTAGTTACCCACCCTGTTAAAAATTTGCCTTATTTCCAGTATGAATTTGTCTAGCTTCAATTTCCAGCCATTGGATCTTGTTATACTTTTGTATGCGAGACTGAAGAGTCTATTATCAAACTTCTGTTCTTCATATAGGTACTTGTAGACTGAGGTCAAGTCACCCGTTAACCTTCTCTTTGTTAAGTTAAATAGATTGAACTCCTTGAGTCTAGCACTATAAGGCATGTTTTCCAAACTTTTAATCATTCTCATAGCTCTTCTCTGAACCTTCTCCAATTTATCAGCATCTTAAATGAATTAGGGACCTCTGTGTTCTGACTGGACCCAGTATTCCAGTAGTGGCCAAATACAGAGGTAATATAATCTTCCTACAGCTACTCAATATTCCCATTTATACATCCAAGGATCACATTAGCTCTTTTGGCCACAGCGTCACACTGGGAGTTCACAATTATCCACCATGACCCCCAAGTCTTTGTCAGGATCATGGCTTTCTAGGCTAGAATTCCCGATCATACAAATATGGCCTACATTCTTTGTTTCTAAATGCATACATTTACATTTGGCTGTATTAAAATGTTAAAACAAAGTGTTTGCTTGTGCCCAGTTTACCAACCAAGCCAGATCTCTCTGTATCAGTGACCTGTCCTTTTCATTATTTACCACTGCCCTAATTTTTGTGTTATCGGCAAACTTTATCGGTGACAATTTTATGTTTTCTTCCAGCTCATTGATAAAAACCCTAAAAAGCCTAGGGCCAAAAACCAATGCCTGTGGGACCCCACTGGAAACACTGCTCTATGATGCTTCCCCATTTACAATTACATTTTGAGACCTGTCAGTTAGCCAGTTTTTAATCTAGTTAATGTGTGGAAAGGGAGAGATTATTGTGCAAAGGTGACAGACTGACAGTGAGTACAGCCCAGTTAGCAGCAGAGTGAGCTCCCCCTCACACAGACACAGAGCCCCTGCCAATGTGCCTCAGCCCCTACCCTAGCAGGGAGTATGGTCTCTGTCCTATTAAATCCTTGACCTCTCTTCTGAAGCTGCCAGTGGCAGAGACTATCAGTGCCAGTTGTGATGGTGGGTTTTTTGGTGGTTTGGGCACCTGGGAGCTAGACTGAGAGCTCAGTAACACAATGCAAACAAACCACCAAACTCAGACACCATGGCAGTGACCATTGAACAGGACCATTAGCTACAAGCCCACCCAACTAGGGGATTTTATCTGGGCGAGACTGGGCTACACTAAACAGTTCAGTCTTCCCTAGGAATATAGTCCCAGCCTCAGCCCCATGAGGGGATCTTACTGGTGGCAGTCAGAATACAGCAATTGGACAATGCTCTTTCTTGGGCCTTTAATCACAGGCAGATGCCACCATGGCTGGGGAATCCCTACCATCCCCTCTGGTTTGCAGGGTATAATATGGTTCTTCGCAGCCATAGCGGATAACAGCTTCATACTGAGTCTCCTCAAATCCTGACAGGTAGGTGGCTTTGCCATTGTCAATAGTGTCAGGGACACCACAGTTCACAGCTGCAGAGAAAAACAGAAAGGACGGTTATCAAAGGGGTATCCCCACCCAACAATCCATTTACACTGTCTGACTAGGAACCACTGCAACTCCTCATTTGTCACTGGTCATCACTGCACTAGGCAGGCTCAGAGAGCATTCCTCATTCCCCTGTGGATCACCCATTCCCCCACATCTAAGGTCAGATTGAAACTAATGCCCTAACACTGAAAGGCCCGTATCCCATTTCCAGATCTCCGACAGCCATAGAGGAAAGGGAAACTTACGGACACATTTGTGGTGCGAGTTGCTCCATTCTCCATTGCTTTGGCAGCTGGAGTGAAAGGCTGCTAGGCTGCCTTGTTGCTGAGTGAAAGAAGAATGCGTGTCAGTTCCTGAGAGTAAAATGTAACCAAATTAAGCTCCCCTGTGGAGGGATTTCACTGAGATGTAGGGATATCTGCAGAGCAGTCAGGTATAGATGGAGGCAGAGTACTACGTTAGACAAGGCTATTGATCTGACCTAGTCTGGAGTGGGGTGGAAGGTGTGATGCCCAGTGGTCTGAGTCAGCCATAGCAAAACCAGTTTCAAGACCAGTGAGGGCATCCAGAGCCACTGCAGAGCTGTTGGGGAAGGGGTCCCCATTTGTTCAAGTGGTTCTGCGCTGAAATCTGCACACAACATATTCTCTCCCTGTCAGGTTTTAAGGAACTGACCTTCAGCTTCTGTGGTGGGTAGGGAGGAAGGAGAAGGTGCTTCATAGTGCCTGGGAGAGGTACATTGAGGTCAACAGGGTTCTCATGACATCTGAGGGGAAGGGATTATAGGACCCCATTGCAGGGCTGGATGGGCAGCTTACCATCTCAACCTCATAACCTTCCATGCAGGTCACCTTCACATAGTCCTTGAAGATGTAGTTGTCCTTCAGGGGGTCAAGAATAGAGTTTGGGGTGACAGTCTGGGGACAGGTTATTGCTTTGGGGAGGAAAGAGGATATCAGTGACTGATCGGTTTGAGACTCACTTTCTCTTTTTTCCCACCTTTCTCTCTTTGACTCCCAGCCAGCAACCACCCTTTCACCCAAGCAACAGGCATCCACTTAGCCAAACCATCTATCTATCCTTTCTGTCTCAGAGCAGCAAAGTGAGCATTTTCCAAGGGTATTTACTCACGGTCCCCAAAGTAGCGCATTTTCCAGCCTTTCTTTTGTGCCGTTTTGTCTGTTTGGAAGATAATATCAAGAATATTGCTCCTGGTTTTAATTTTTGGAGGCCCTGGGAATTTGTTGCCACAATAGGGACCAAAATGTTGTTTTCCGTCTGTGAACTGGGAAAATAATAATCAAGAAGCAATGAAAAATTGGAAGAGAAGAGTAGGAGACAGAGAGAAAGTGAAAGAGATGGAGTCAAGGGGAGGGGGTTGGGGGAAATCTTAACAGGGATATACAGTTGGGATTAAGGTTGAGCAAGGAGAGTGGGCCCTGAATGTGAGGGGAAGGAAATCTCTAGTTGGGGGGGGACACATCTGGGATTAGGGGTGAGCAGGGAGAGAGGAGCCCTGAGTATGAGGGGAGGGAATCTCTAGGAAGACATGGCTGAGATCAGGGGTGAGCAGGGTAAGGGGACCCCAGTCATAAAGATCTCCTCTGTGTACCCCACCACCTACTGTTAAGCTGTCGGGGCAGTTCCCTTCTGAGTCGGCCGGTTCTAAATCAAAGTCCCCACTCCTGATGTTCAGCACCACATGGTAGCCCGGCTCCAGGACCACACGGTATTCACAGTACAAGCTCTCAGGATACAGGTTGGGGTAGTTGGGGCTGGAGATTTCCCCTGACAGCTCAGTGAATACACTCCCACTGCAGTTCACTAGGGTTGAGGAAGGAACATGGACAGGGAGGTCAGGAAGGGAGATGAGAGGAGAGCCCCCACCTTCCAATCCACCTCCAGTGTCCTATCACCTGCATTAATCATGTTGAGACATTGCATCAGCCAGAAATGAGAACCTGTCTCTCCCCTTGGTGGACCAGGAGAGGATTGTTCTCCCATCCACTTTCTGGGGATCTCATTTCCAAGTGTCCTGAGCAGTGGTGCTCTTGGTCCTTCATCTGGGGAGACAACTGCACAGATCCCCCTGGAATGGGTGATGGGTCCTGAGCACCTGTCCTTTGGTTCAATCTCATCCCCATTTCTCCTAGTTCTCCCCCTTCAGCCTTCCAAAACAATGCCCCATCATCTCTGATTTGTGCCCCTCACGCATTTGTAGATAGTGTTTGTGTTACACAACCAACAAGGGCTTTGCCTAGCTGGTGGGATTTAGCTCTTTGAATGTACCCCTCTGATTCCCTGTGCATTTTGGGCTCCTCTCTGAGCTCTCTCAGTTTGTCACTCTTTTCTTACAATTAAGGATCCCATGCTGCCTACAGTACCCCAGGTGGCGTCTCCCCAAGCTCTATGGAGAAGAACTGTCCCCTCTCTGTTCTGGGATGTGAGGCCTCTGAGACTGAGTCCCCTGCAGCTGAGCACAGTATCCTGGTGGGATCTTCTCAGGACTGTATTGATACTTTCATACTCCAGGATGCTTCCATTTATTCAACCCCCAAAATTGCACTGGCCTCTCTGGAAGCCAAAACACTTTGCAAACTTCTGGTTTACTGGTCTCTTTAGTTCTTTACTGCCTCCCATTGTTTAGCGCTATTCCTCCCCATTCAGATGGTGAATCATTTTGCTATTCCCATTCTATATCCCATTGATTTATTGTCCTGTACTCCCTGTTTATTGCAGCTCCTTCCCATTTACCATCCCCTGTGCATTTCCTTAACAGTCAGACCACCCATGGAGAAGTTCCTCCCAGTTCAGTGTCAGTGGTGCCTATATCACCTCCTGCTCTTACCTCCACACGTCTTCTGATCCTCATGCAGGAAGTACTCTGGGGGGCAGGAGCAGAAGTAACCACCAATGTAGTTATTGCAATAGTGGCTGCAGGCATCCTCCTTGAAATCCATGCACTCATTCACATCTGCAAGGAGTAAAGTGAGACCAGAGTGTGCCGAGCATAAGAGAGGAAACTGGGGGAAGAAAGCAGGTTATGATTAGGGAGTGGGGTAAACAGGCATTGATGCCAAGCAGTGGAGGCCTCTCAAGTAGAAGCACTGAAGCAGGGTGCTGACTGGCACTGCTGTGGAGAAGCTCACTCTGCTGGTGTCTCTCCCAGTTGGGCAGTGATAGGACAGCACTGTGAGGAAGACCTTGGTGCCAAAGCCCCTCCCTCCTGCCAGTCATTGGACACTGCTCAACAGAAACTCATGTCCACAGGGCACTCTAGAGACTCAGAGGCAGGCCCAGTCTTACCCACTGCAACATAGTAGGCAGTGAAACCAGTGAAACGCTCCTCATTGGAAAAGTCTGACTGGAAAGTCACAGTCAGGGTGTTATAAGGGACATAGAATTCCTTCAGGATTGGGGAACCAGGGTCTCTGCTGCGCTTTCGACCACAGAGCAGGCCCTCGACATGGTCACCGGACAGGATCTGCAGAGGGACAGACAGAGAAGTCTTGTCTCACTAGAGAAATTTGTTGTGGTTATCAACATTTGAGCCCCTTGGCACAATAGCAATATGCCCCAGGTCTACACCCAAGCTCCCCCAGCAGCTCATTATCATGCAACCAGTTACACGGCATAGTTTATGATTGTTCAGAGGTTAACTTTGAGTCATTTCAGGCTTAAGTGTTTGGGTGCCAGCATGAAGGTCAATGGCAGTCATAGCTAAAATAGCCTTTGCACAAACAGGGTTCATTGACTGAGGTCGTGACTGGAAGGGGGCATTAGTAGCAGTTGGGAAGGCATTTCTAATGGAGACAATGTGGGGGACATAATTGGAAGGGAAATGGGGAGGGGTGAGAGTGGACACTCGGCTGGCAAACTAGCGGAGGCTCAATGGCTGAGACAGCTGTGGAATGGAGCTGGTAGCTCTGCGTATAATTCTGTAGTGAGAACAGATGACCAGAGAGCATTGAAACTGAATTGGTTTAAACAGTGCTAATGTGGATGCCAGGCAAAACTTAAATTGATTCAGCTATGGCTAGTGTGGACGCACTGAATCATCTGTGCTTCAGTTCAACACCAGGAGGGGCTGGTAGGTCCCCTATTCCAGTCCTGGGCTCCCATACAGAGTTCTTCCCCACAGGCCCCACTGAGGTCTGCTGCTGCTCCTCAGTCCTGCCCCACAATCCCCTCTGTTCCCCTGAGTAGGGGTGGATGGGGTACTGTACCTTCACAGAATCATACTCGCAGTCCTGGGATGGCTCTATGTCTAGGTGGGTGAAATAGAGGCGGATGCCATACCCTGGGGGGACACTGATTTCCCAGGACTCCTTCACATCATTGGGGTACCCCTGAGGATAGTTAGGGGACAGAATCTCGCCATACATGGGGGCTGCATCAGCCCAGGCCAGGAGGCAACAGAGGATGAGCCACCTGAGAGAGGGAAGAGGAAGGCAATGTTACCGGAGTGCTCTATGTCTGGTTATATGTAAATAGTTAATAGAAAAGTTCCAGTGGGTGGCTCTGAAGATTAATATGCAGCCTAGTTCCAGAGTTTTTCAATAGCAATGAGACTTGCTGTTGTACACTGAGAATAGCTTCCTCTTGCAGCTCTTTACATGGAGCTCTTGCCAGGTGAGACTTTGGCACTGATTCCATTCCCAGACCTAGTCTCCCACTTCCTGGGTGCTGGAAGTGCTACAGGGGCTGGGTCCAGCACTGCCTGGGAGTTAGTCCCTGCAGGGAAGCTAGGTCCCATTCCCTGTTTCCATCCCTGGGACCTGGGAAAGCTGTAGTTAAATCCAGATTCCAGAATTGATGCAAGACTCAAGGAGAGCAGCATTGTTCATTAAATTATTAATTAGCTAAAACTCCCCTTCTATACCCAGCAACTCACCACTTCTGCAAAAGTTCCATCCTGTGTCCTTCCTGAAAAGCCTCAGCTTCTGGACTTTGGAGTTACGGGACTGGGACAAAAACAACAGCACTGATTAGTGTTTTCTCTCTGTGTGCGTGCTTGGTGGCCAGCACAACAGTTTCAATGTCCCAACTCATGGGGAACGTGCCAAAGCAACTTTAGTTCCTATGCCTGGAGAGGAAGCTGTACCTCTCATCCAAACAACAGCAACTCCTCCACTATAGCACCTCAGCACCATGGTGGGGTGTAGGGGTCAGTACTGACTCACAGTGGAGAGCACCCCCTATGAATCACACACACACCCAATCACACAGCATCCTCAAGCACCAGGCTAGGGTATTTGAATCAGTACTAACTCAAGGCAGAAAGTGCTCCCTGCTGAGTCACCCAGCTTACAGCACAGAATCTCCTGTACTATACTGGAGTCTGGGGACAGTGCCCCCTACTGCTTTCTGCTGTACCACACGGATTAACCCCTTTCCGATCCAAGCAACCCAAACAATAGCAATGGGGAACTGTGTCCATGCCCATTTCTAATGTTAGTTTGGGAGATTTTACCTTCTCTCTCCGTCTTTGCCTGTTTCTCTCTCCCTGTCCCGTCTCTCTTTTTTTCTGTCTTGAGACCACATCCCAGTCAGTGATGTAGGGAATTGACAGGGAAGGGTCTGAGCCGTTACTCACAATGCTGTAGCACCCCCTGCCTGTGGAATGTGGCTTCCCTGCCTCTCCTTCTCAGATAAAGCTTTTTCACGTCCTAAGCTCCCACGCAGCGGAATTTCCAGAGCCTGTTTCACAATCCCCTTGGCTGAGTCCCTGGGATGGGAGCATGTGGATCTGGGCTGGGTTAGCACATGCTGGTTTTCGGGGAAATCAGGTGACTTTTGGGAAGAGGGAGGGCAAAGGAAATTCCAGCTGGAAGAAATTAATCTCTGACACACACACACACATCCCACTCGCGGGAGGCTGGCTGTGAAGGTCAGAGGATTTGGAGAAGGAGGAACCCTGATAAGAAGTTGTCAATAAAGGCTTTAAGTGTTAAGAAAAGGTGCTGGCCCCTCAGCTCCAGACAGTCATAGAGCAGCCACCACAACTACACTGCCCCCTGCTAAAGTGCCTCACCAGGACTCCTTCGAAGGAGAAAGGTGATTCAGTCTCTGTGGCCCATTCACTCCTGGGTCTCTCTGCTTGAGGCTGCCAGCAAGGGCCAGTTAGTGCCAGTTGATCCACTGGTTTTTGCAGTGTGATCCCTTGCCATGTTAGGAACTAGACTGAGAGCCCACAAACTTGTTTCACATACAACGACCCACCAATTGACCATGAGATTCAATGTGGGGCCATCATCACAGTCAACCTGGGCTATGTTAGAACTGGAGCCCTAGAGAAGTTTCATATCTTATTCCCAGACATTCCCTCTAAACCAGCCAGATTGAGACCTGATTGGAGACTGTGGCCTAGGGTTGAAAGGACGCTTATCTCCTTCCTCAACCTCTCATCTCCGAGCCAGCCAAACCTCCCATCCTGGTGCTGGATTGGAAAGGATGACCTTACAGGTTCCAACTCCCATTCCTACTCTTAGCAGTGAAGTTATGCATCTGAGGGCTTCACTCCAAGTGAGTGAGTTTCAGTTGGACATGGCTAGTGTGCTAGCTAAACCCCACATAAACTCCACCTTTTTTCTAGGGTGGATGCAGGGTAACACCTGTAGCTTGATTTTAGTTGACTGAGGTGTAGCCTTTGCAAGATAAAAGTGTTCTTCTTGGCCTGGTTGCACACGTGCATGCCACTCAGCCATGTGCACGCCCAGTGTGCTGGAGCTGGTGAGTTTTCTGCCACAGTAGCCGTCAGGGCGGCACATGTACCCTGTGCATCCTTATGGCCCCTGGAGAGGCTATATAAGGGCAGTACCTCCCCAATCCCCTTCAGTTCCTTCTCATCACCCATGGTCTGAGCTGGATCTCCCCATGTGACTTACCTCACCATTTTGTCTCTACGTTGTCAGTGACTTTATCGCTTTACTTTTTATGTAAATAGGTTTCGGAGTAGCAGCCGTGTTAGTCTGTATTCGCAAAAAGAAAAGGAGTACTTGTGACACCTTAGCGACTAACCAATTTATTTGAGCATAACCTTTCGTGAGCTACAGCTCACTTCATCGGATGCTGAAGAGTATGTAAATAGTTAGCAGTGAGTACCAGTAGTTAGGCTTCCTTTATTGTTTTATTTTGTTTTTATTATTTAATAGTTTTAGGTGCTGGGCACTGGTGGCATGCAGCGCTCAGGCACTGAACTCTAAGTGCTGTCCATCATGTGGGGTGCCTATTCCACATAAAGACCCCTCCCCCACAGGAGCTATCACAGCAGTGGGCAAATACTTTGAACAATTGCCAAACTGCTGCTGCTGTCGGGCTTAAAAGCTGGTCTGCTCACTCTTCCCACCAATCTGGTGGTGTAGCCAATCAGGCAGCCTATTACAAGCCAGCTGTGTTCACTAGGTTGCCTGGAGACTGGCTCTGCTGCAGGCTCTGATTCCTGACAACCCTGGCACCGTCTTCAGTATCAGTGCGCACTATGTTGGGGACTGGTGCAATCTTCAGCCTTGACATCAGTTCCATGCCCTGTCTTGGCACCTACAGTCTTAGTAGCAGGCCAATTCTCAGAGTGGGCACTGACCATGGCTTGCACTGCAAAATCCTTCTTGGTACTGAGTCTTGACATGATAATCTTTACAACTTGGAACACATTTGTGGTACTATCATGCCCACATCAGTACCAATACTGGCCTCTTCACAATGGACTACGGGTAAGTTAGGTTGCTTAGTGGGCCCACTGATTATTCAGATGGCTCTTTGCAGTCTGGTTCAGAGTCCTCCAGTACTTTGCCATCCTCTGCTGGGTGCAACCAGTTGAGTCAGTCTTCTAGGAGAGCACTGGGACTGGGATTGTTCATACAGCAAAGACAGATCATCATGGCCTGGTGCCTATTGCCTTAAAATTTCCCTCATTAATGGCCTATTTATAACCCTGGAGTGATTCACAAACCCCTGGGTCTTGATCTCTGGCCCATTCAAGGTGAAAGTTGCCAGACTGGTCCACAAAGTCATTTCCAGAGCTACCTAGGCTGGGGGCACATGCAAACATTGATCCCCCTGAGCAATCAGTCCTGCAAGATGAACCATTTTCAGAGGAGCTGGTTGTATCAAAGGAGGATTCATTCTCTCCTGCAAACCTGTTGCCTCCTTGCCTGACAACTCAGTAATCCAGACTCCTGATCTCTTTCCAGAGGATTTTAAATCCTAGCAAAACCTGCTGAGGAAAATGGCTGTGGCTTTGGGCATACAAGCTGATCTGGTGCAAAAGACCACTTTTGGACATTTTCCAGGCAGTAGCCCTTTGGAGGGTAGCCACCCCCTATTAATGAAACTCTTCTGGAGTCAGCAAAGACATTATGGCATGCACTGGCTTCCTTAGCTGCTACATCTAAGTGCATGGAGAAACAATATCACATTCCAATAAAAGGCTTTGAAAGTTTTTATTCCCACCCTGCCCCAAACTCCCTGATGTTTACTGCTGCTAACAAACGATCATGTCAGGGGAGCATTAAATCAACTCCCCAAAAAGGAGCCCAAGAGATTTAATTTGTTGGGGAGAAAAAATTATTCTACTTCCTCTCCCCAGAAGTGCATAGCAAACAAGTCCCAGGTGCTGTTTAGCTAAATATGACTTCAGAAACTCGGATGCAATGTCCAAATTGACTGATAAACTCCCTGAAGATGCAAGGGAGGAATTTAGGACTTTTCTAGCAGAAAGTCACTTGGTGGCCAAGACTAGCTACAGCCTGCACTTGACGCAGAGGCCTCTAGGATGATGGCTTCAGTAATAACAACAAGGAGAGACCGCAGTGTAAATAGACAAGGAGAGGCATGATCTGATCCGCTTTGCCAGGAAGTGATGAATCTCTGGGGCTTTTGCATCATTACATTACTCCCATTGCCGTTCACTTACTCCCAGAACCAGCTGGCCAACCATGTCAGCAGGATATTCTCCCAGAGTCACAAGGGGTCCCTCAACAATGGTGTGCTGAGGACATCTTACAAGACTAGAATATTCCTGAACTCAACCTATTCACAACAAAAGACAACAAGAAATGCCATCAGTTCTCCCCTTGAATGGTCACAGTCCAGGCTCACTGATCAATGCCTTTCTCCTGAGATGGAGACTGGAGCTCATGGATTCATTCCCCCCATTTTGCTCATCCCTCAGGTCATACTAAGATAGTGCCAAGATAATTCTCAATGTGCCAATGTGGTTGAGATGGTGTTGGTTCTTTGATCTTGTGACATTATTAATATGAACTGTGACCATATAGATCATTGTTGCAACCAAGGTCATATAGTGGCACCAAATCTTGTACAAAAGAGATTAAGTAAGGTGTCTATGTGAAAGTTACGATCTGCTGGTTATGATTGTGCTATCTGAATGCATGTATCATTTTTGTATTTAAAGTTATATGTATTGGCTCTATACTGTCTGTATTTCAAACTTGTGCTATGCTTCTGGGTGACACCCCAGACAATTTGGCATCAGCACTGCCTAACCTGCTTGATGAACCATTAAGGACCATCAGCTATACAACTGACCCATTGAGAGAAGGCAGATACACCTTGTGACTCAGCAAGGCATGCAGGAACATGCCTATGGACAGACCTGTAAGATTTTTCCATGCCATGTGCTGGGTAGCTTGTGGTTGGAACAAAGAAAGCACAAGTCACATGGCAAAAGGACTATAAAAGGCAGCATCATCATCTCCATTTTGCCTTCAGTCCTGCTTCTTACTTCTGGAGGAACCTTGCTGCAAACTGAAGCTCTGAACAAAGGACTGAATGACCCATCCCAGCTGTGGATGTACTCCAGAGACTTGATTTGAGCCTGCAGTTTATTCCATCTCTGCTACAAGCCTGAGCCAAGAACTTTGCCATTACTGTATGTAATTGATTTCTTTAACAAATTTTAACTCTCATCTGTATTTCTTTCTGTTATGGATAAACCTTTAGATTTTAGATTCTAAAGGATTGGCAACAGCATGATTTGTGGGTAAGGTCTGACATATATTGACCTGGGTCTGGGGCTTGGTCCTTTGGGATCGGGAGAACTTTTTTTCTTTTACAGGGGGATTGGTTTTCATAACCATTCATCCGCATACGGAGCGGTGCTGGGGGTGATACTGGGAAACTGGAGTGTCTAAGGGAATTACTTTTATGACTTATGGTTAGCCAGTGGGGTGAGACCGAAGTTCTCTCTGTTTGGCTGGTTTGGTGTGCCTTAATAGTAAAGGAAACCCATCCTTGGGCTGTAACTGTCCTGGTCTAAGCAATTTGTCCTGAATTGACACTCTCAGTTGTGTCCTGCCAGAGGCAGCATCGTTACAGATCTTCACAATCTTTTGATTCAATCCCTGCGGCCTCTGCTTGCTCTTCCAGATGTGCTGTCCGAACAGCATGGACAAATGTGGCACCCAGATCCGAACATGGCTGCTGGGTAGTTAGATCATTCGAAGAAGGGCTGCTCAGTGGCAGTTCAAGAGATACTACTTAATACAGGTAGTAGGATGCAGTCCACTAGCTCCACTTATTTAGCTAAGTGGAAGCATTTTTTGATCTGATCCACTAGTCAGGAATTTT